ACAGATGGGGGATGTCGATGTTGTTGTCTGTAGTACATAATGAGGCAGCCGGGCTAATAAGGCGAAGCGGCCGTCAAAAATAAAAAAGATACCGCAACAAAGAGAAAATCTAACAAAAAGAAAAGGAGAGGATGGTGGCGGCGCCCTAAAGAATGCCAACAGCGCCAAGAGAAGAACAAAAAAAAAAATCTTCCCTTGTTGCTCTGAGTTACTTTTTAGTTAGAAATTATCAGTTGTTCCGACGGCAAAAAGACACAAGAACGGGGAAACAGAAGCATTTAACTCTATCAGACAGGCATGCAAGCGTCACTTCAACAGAGCACATGTCTCTCTGCTCCCAGCATACCCATATATATATATATATATATATATCTTGTATAGGTAGATAGGGTGAGTCAAACACACACACACACACACACACATAAAGAGAGTCATGGAAACTTCATCACCCGCGAGTCCTTATGATTCTGCGGCATTCCATCGAAAGATGGACGCCTTCACACGCCTATTCACCCCTGTCAGATACGGTCGGAATGTGTAAAAGGTGTACATCATAAACGGGAAACGAAAAAACTCCAGCATTTCATTGATCACGAACGCAAATCCAAAGTCCACGTATTTGCCCCAGGCTTCCACACGCTTGTAAAACCACTCCTTGTCCACGTAACCTCCGAGGAAAACAAACATGTATTCGTACGCTGTTTCCTTCTTGAGAATACCTGTTGCAAATCCCACATACAGTGCAACAAGACAACCCAGATAGACGGAAATGTAGAGCAAAGTAAATCCCAACCCTTGTCGCTTAAAAAAAGTAATACCCTTTCGCCAGCGCCGTACATTATAGTCCCGCATCCGGTCCATCTCGGAGTCAAAGACATGATCTGTCTCCTCTGCAATACGCACAAATCGATCCTTTCGTGCCTTTGAGTTTCGCAAAAGCTTCTCCTTCGTTGGATTAACAGCAGTTGCCTGCGCATCAGTCTCACTCATGTAATCCTTTGTGCTCTTTGTAATCCATGGAGCCGATATTGCACGGTCCTTCTTGTTAATTCCACGCAGTGTAGCAGAAGTTTGTTCATACTGCACGCCTCGCACGGCAATAAGAAATGCGCCATGGCAGAAGCCGCAACTACTGGTAAGAGACACAGCACGTTGTGAAACAGGCAAACGAAGTGCCGTTGTAGAAGGGCTGGAAGAATTCCTCTTCCTCCATAGGCGTTGAACACGAATCATTCTCGATTTCTCACTCCTCAACCCCTCTTCCACTGCCAGTGTATGTGAAGACTATGATTTCGTAATGTCTACTGTTTCTGTCCCTCCACGCAATATTTAGATATCGATAGCACGATAGTTGCCGCAGTAACGCCACGTAAAAGCCACACTACTCCTTGACTGCCGTCGTCCTCTCTTGACTCTTCCTGTGTGTTAAGGCTGGTTGTGTCTTTCTGTAGCCACCACAAGAGGGTCGGAGAGAGTACAAGTTCAAGCCTCCTCTCGGTGTGCTGTCTCTTTGCACTCCAAAGACATCAATCAACAAGAAAAATGGCGCCACCTAAGAAGGCAACGAGAAATAAACAAAGAAGGTAATACACTAACATGGCAAAAAAAGGTGAAAAAAAAACTTTCTTCTTTACAGACAGCGGAATACTTTTGCTCCTTCACCCACCCCCTCACCCCCCCACCTCTCTCTCTCTCTCTCATTCGCCCCCTTTCGGGGAGGGGAGGACTGAGTGGCGCCTATCATGCGTTGGGTGGTGTGCGGTTCGAGCCTCAGAACCGCTGCGGTGATGGCATCACCTCTCCAACGGTCTCCAACTCCGCCCCCTCCGCCGCAGCGTCATCAAATGACGGCTTTGCTGCCCTTATCTTGGCCGCCCACTCCTTGCCTTTAAAGAAGAGCGCTGCAGTGGACTCGGCAGTCCGAGTTGCGCAAAGCAGCTGCTCCACCTGCTCCTCCTCCTCAGCAGCGGCGATGGTGGACGCATCATCATCCTCGACGTCATCCTCATGATTTTCCCCTTCGTGGTGACCGCCCTCCGCATCAAGAAGTGCACCTGACCCACCAGCGACGGCTAATCCATCATCATCAACCTCGCAAATGAGAATGTCATTGTTGTGGCTTACAAGCCCTTCCTCCTCTCCGCCTGCATCATCACAGTTAACATCGAGGCCATCATCGTCACTGTCGTAAATATCACCACTTACAAGGGCCCTGTCGGCCGCGCTACACTCACCCTGGGGGTGTGGCTCGACAAGGGTGGCATTCATGACACTTTCCAGACTAAAGTCGCCCATCCCCTCAGCAGTACTGCTGCTGTAGTCGCCCACCCACTCAAAAAAAGCCTCTTCAATGATGTGCCGGCTGCTCGTGAGACTCGCCTTACCACGTTGTGGCACACTGGCGTCGTCCTCATCATCGTTATCATGATCTCCTTCCATGCGACCAAACATGTCTTCCACAGTGGCGCGCGGCACCTGCACGTCTGCGGCCGCGCAATCGCACCATAGCGTCGTTGTTTTCGATGGCAATTTTGTTTCTGACGTTGTTCTCGTGGCAGTGCGGTAATGACTGTGACACAGAGCGACGGTGAGTGATGTGTGGACAAAGAGAGCACGGCGCAACATCATCGCTACTGCCGCAGGGACTGCCCTCTATATCGTTGTTCTGTATGTATCTACCACCCGATTCCCCTTGGACTCCACACACGGCGATGCGCACACTTTTCACCAAGTCCGTTTCACCCGAACAAGTCAAAAAAAAAAAAAGTAATAAACAATCAAAGCAAACCAACAATAACAACTGAGCTTTCAAATCAAAAATGAGTAAGCCAGTTTTCCTCGTGTCATTACACAACATTTGGTTATTATTATTACTATTTCCTTGTCAGACGCAGGTACTCTTTTCATCGCGCCTAAAAATAGGTATTCACTCATTTATACTCACCCATACCCATACAAACACGCGTTCTATCCCACTCTAGTCTTTGTGCCCGTTTCCGGTGCAAAAAAATAATACACAAATCAACAAACAACATCAAAAACCCAGAAAAAAAAAGTTATTAACCATAAAAACGATACCACCCAGAAGGGCAAAGCGCACCCTTCTGGGTGTGTAAAGAGAAAATGTCTACAATGGCATGACGGGGGCGTGCAACATCCTTACTGTGTTGGAAAGAACCATGGCACGCGTGAATTCCTCCGTTGCTATGCCATCAAGTTCCAGTAGGTTTTCATACCCTCGGTTCCAGTCGGCATGCAACGCCTCGCGGCACCCACACTCCTCTGCCCTTAATGTGCTTAAGGTGCAGGCGACACAAACTGGTTCAAGTACCTCAGTTGCTGCTTGAACCCCTTGTGGAACTCGGCCTGCTGAACTGCCATTCCCCTCACTCTTCAAAGACAAGCATCTCCGCATAGCCTTCGACCTGGTAATGTGATCAAACAGCGTCGAATGAGATAAACAGAGTGAACACGCACTGAAGTTAACGTCGTCATCGCTGCACCATGAACACCAACGATGAACGTTCCCCTCCGCATCGCGGCTGCTGAAGCTGCTTTGTGTGTCACTCAACGTCATGTTTTCTGTGCCAGTAAGCAAAGACGTATGCTGCACATTTCGAAGTAGTTGAAGGTCCATCCAGTGCTCCGACGCAGCAAACTCAATGCCGTTTCGCTCGCTTTGCTCTTCAAGAAGTAATTCTTGTCGCTCTCCCATTAACTCCATTCCCCAAAATACAGAAGTGTACTTTGGCTGCGCCTCCCGCTCCAACCTTGCCCGCTCATGTCTCTCCTGCTCAAGAAGAGCTGCGATCGCCGCCTCCGCTGCAGTACAAATACCGTCACAAAAGGCGCCGCGTATGGCGTCGCGTTCGCGCTGCTCACCTCCCGAACGAAATCGGCGGTGCAACGATGGTGGCAACTTACTCGGGGACAAAACGCTGGAGTCCGTTCCACCTTCAGGGCATAAAAAGAAATTGCCGCAAATGTAGATTCTCCTTGACTCCTCCTCACGCACGACATTCTCCATCTGCAATGCAATGGCGTCAACTACATGTTGCGAGAGCCAAAAATAGGTCTTGCGCTCCTCCAACTGCATCATGCCGTATTCCTCCTGTTGCAAGACTTCAGCTCGCGCTTTCTGCTCCTCATAAAAAAGGCCCGCTTGCGCCCTCTCCAGTCGCTCATTCTCGACATCTGAAAGTGCCTTCACCGCACTCTCGTCAAACCACTGTAACGGATCATCGGACCCAACCTCTTCAAAGGTCACAAGGTTGAATGATTCGCCGCTTGCAGCGTTCCGGCACTGCCCTAACATCGACGCCCTCCCTTTACGGTCGCCCACTTCCTCTTCCTCATCCGTGCCGTACGCCGGAGCCAGAGCATCTTCCTCAAGTCTCTCAAAGAGGAAACGACCAGTGCTGACAGAAAGAAAAGCATCCGATGAAATTGTGCTGAGAGCCCCACCCCGGACACTCTCCTCTAGCGACTCACAGTAAGCATTTGGGCTTTGCAATAACCCCATTTTTTGCGGGGGGGTTTTGTTATTCTGCCACATTTTGTTCGTCACAGTTTCATCCAACTTTAGCTTTTCCCGGCCAGTTCTTCGATGTTCATCATTCCAAAAATTACTTCTGACGGGGGAAGAAGCCTTCGGCAAGGCGCCATGCAGTCCATCCTTTGCAGCGAGTACAAAACGCCGTCGACAACCCTCTTCCACAATTGTGATAAGGCTACGCGCGGCCCTCTCCTCGTCTGAAAGCATACAATGATGATCCACAGTCATGTCTCTGTTTTCCCATCGGCTATTATCCTCCCTCTGCCTCGGTAATAAGTATCCCGCCACCCGCGTGGAAGTTTCCCTCCCTATGATGGTATACTTTGGGGTTTCGTTGACCTCCGAAGCGTCAAAGATACTTGACGACTTCAGCTGTGGAACAGGAAACTCCAGACTGTTGAGAGAAGCCGTCGGCCTTTCCTGACGTTCCTGCTGCTCAAAACGATAAAGCAGTGACGCCGCCTCCTGCTCGAGGCTTTTCCTGTTCTCCGCCTCTCGAACGTGCAACAAGACCAAAAACTCCACCAGTGCGCCAATGTCACTGCAACGTCTGGAGATCTTCCAGTCAGCAAGGTCCTCGCCGAGAGAGTGCGTATGCGTCAGCGATGCCCAGCATTTCATTGTCCGCGCTAGTTGATAAGCACGATCCGCGGCACGATTGCCACAGCTCACCTTCGTGCCGATTGTGTGACAAAAATGTCTCAATGGGGGTGATGCGAAGCGGGGCTGTTCCCATAGTCTCGGCGCCATATGAAGTGCAGAACTCTGAAAGGGGTTTGGAGTTGAGTGCACCAAGAAAAGTTTATTCAGGGCAAGGGACACCTCTGTGTGACACAGTCTCGCATGCTGTGGGTAAGAAGATGGTGAGTGCACGAGTCCAGACGTCTGCGGGCCCCTTCCCCAGGATAGGGCACAGTGCAAGCTTCCGGTGTGAGGTTCTGCCCCTACACACCTTGGCGTGTCATTCAAAGTACATGGCGAGATGGTTTTGTACACGTTGGGCAAGCACACCTGACGTCGTTGGTATAACTGCTGCGGTGGTTGTCGCTGCTCCACAGTTGTTGCCGCCGTCGACGAAACCATTTCACTGGCCAAGGAAAAGAAAAGTCTGGGGAAGATTCCGTCCGCTGCTGTTCCGCGCAATTGCTCCCGCTCTCAACCCTTTTCCTACTGCATCTGTTTGGATTAATCACAATTAGAAACAACAAAAGCAAATATATATATATATATACGGGCCGCACCTGCAAAAAGTTGGACCACACAACGAGAGAGCCTTGCCCACGCAATCATCCACCTCCACACATAGCTAGACATGTATACATATTTGTACGTGCAAGCACGCAAACATTTGTCTCAATGTTATATGCTGGGCAATTCGACTTTGGGTGAAATAAACTTAAAAAAAAAAACGAAGAGCCACCGCGGCAGCTGCAACCCCACCTTGACTAGTAATAGTGCCGGTGGTAGTAAACGAAGCGCACCGGCTGCCCTCCCTTCCCGCTCTCCAGTACTCAACCCCCCCCTAAAAAAAAAAGATAAGCAAAGACAGAAGTGAAAATAAACTAAGACCCAAGCGTATACAAAGGAGAGAAAATGTGTGCGGGAAGGAAAGAAGATGTAAAAAAAAAAAAGGAAAAACAACGAAAACACCTACAGAAGAAGAAAAGAAAAAAAATGTGTGTCAACGGTCTACAGTAAAAGAGAGAAAAAGTGATGTTGTATACATGGACGTATGGAACGAAGAATAAAAGCTTGTGCCACATTCAAAAGCATCACATACGTAAGTGTCTCTCCTTGTTGTTGCCTCCACTCCCTCCCGCTTCTCCCATATCTGTGTTTTTTTTTAATTTACTAAACTGGCACGTCAAGAAAAAAAAAAAAATGGTCGCAAAAAAAAAAGTTCAGTTTGTTGGGAAGCAAGGAGATAAGGCCATGAGTGCTGCAGTGTGACGACAGACCGTAAAAACAGTTGTAAATGGTGGTGGCAAGCACCTTGTCAACTGACGTGAGCACAAGCCATGATTCCGCCCTCCCCCTCCCCCCGTCCCCTTCATTTTTTTTTTGCTTGTATGTTTGCATTGCATTCTCCATCCGCATCCCGTTTTATGCACGGGTTCTACGAAACACCTCTCTGCATACTCTATCTCTCTCTCCCTCGTCCGTCATCGCATCCAAATGGGAAAAAAAAAGGAAATGAAAAAAAGATTAGTAAATAGAAAAAAGTGCACCCCAGCACACACACGCACATGCAATTCGTTGAAGATGTACGCGTCTATGCAGGGCGTATGAAGACAGCGGAAAGCAGTGGGGTGTGACAAAACCACAAAATCCAACTAATAAACAATCAAACGAAGGTAGGCTCACACACGAATGCTAAAACAGAGAGAAACTTCAATCACTTTAACGGCATTTGGATATCGAAGCATCCGCCATATGCAGACCCACCTTCAGTTTGATTCTTCATACGTGGGAGCGTGCAGGCGATGTGAGCCGATTGCACTGGCGTTGAAGACACACACCCTTATAAATGTAGAAGCAAAGATACTAGAGAGTAGTGAGGCAGCATTCATTCATTCATTCAAAAAAAAAAACTGCTTGCTTTCATGAGCATACTCCAGTCAGAATCCCCGTTGTACATCGTTGTTTTTTTTTTTTTGTCTCCCACATCTCTCTCTCTCTCTTTCGCATTGTGTGAACAGCTTTACTCACCTTCCCTACAATCCGTTCAAGTAAACGCCCATCACAGACCTGCCCTGCGGCGCTGGGCTAAAATTAAAAGCTCGTGCAGAGAAAGACTGGTGTGAGTGGGTCCACAGCAAACGCGAGGAAACAACAAAAACGGGAGAAACAAGTTGCGACCCAAATCCGAGCCCAACAACAACACACAACCAGCGTGGTGACCAAACCACGCGCAAGGGGTGGAGGGGTGGAGAATGGAAACGACAGGGCACACACAAGCAGGACAAAGCACCCACAAAAATACTAAACACACGAATTTGCTACACATAAGTGCAACCTGCATGCGCGTGTTGTTGGGGCAGCAGGGGTCCCCCCACAAAGACGCTCCGGTGCGCCACAAACACAACGTACCCTGCCAGTCCCACTCACCCCTCGTCATCATTTCGCACTCGTTCGTTTCACTTTTTTTTCTTTTAGCTTCCTTCGGGGCATTCATTTTATTTTATTTTTTCTTTCATTTTCACACAAACAGGGGAGGGAAGTGTGTGGTGTATATGACTCCGCTCTCGCGTTAATTCGCCGCAACTCATTCCGCTCACTCATCTTCATCTTCGCACGTTATCATACGCTGCGGCCGGTGCCTCTGTTTTTCATATGCCGCAAATAGCAGGAAAATAAAATAAAAAAAAGCACGTAAAAAAAAAAATAGTAAAAGAAGTCCTCTACCATATCCGATGACAAAACAACAACAACTCCGAGGCCTTTCATCTGTAGTCATCCATGTCAAACCTGATGTGTGTATACCCGCCTCTTTATAAAGCAATGCAACTCTATTGCTTTACCTCCCTCTGACAACCGCTCTCTGTACGTGCAAAGAAAACGGCACACAAGTAGATGCGTCTCCGTGCATAAACACTGGCATGAGAGAGGTTGGAGGTGAGCCGCAAAACCAGGAAAAAAAAACCAACTCATGAGTACACATGCGTGTATGTGCAGAGCAAAAAAAATACACAAACTAAAACAGTGTGCCAAAGAGAGTTGAGCCAGACATACGCATACAGATGCAGGAAGGCAAAAACAACAGCAAAACTAGTAATAATACCACGGACTTGTTCATACCATATTTCCATGCAAAAACATGTGGAAGTGCGCATATGTGTGTTTCCACAGGCACATGTTTCACGCACTTCTGCGGTTTCGCTTCCCCCCATACACCTATCAATTGAGAAAAAAAAGTAGACGAGATGGCCATTGTCGTTCCTAGTCACGATCGCTTTCTTTACTATTATTATTCTTTTTTTTAAAAAGTTATAATTATTTCTGCCTCACTTATTCCATGTGGTGTGCTCTTCATTCAGAACAGAGGTGCACCCAATGCGCTCCAAGAAAGCCGTATGGCACAGAACTGGAGAGCAGACGTGTTTTCAGCGAAAGTCACATTGAGCGCCACGATCTGGCAACCTGGCTTTAAAATCCCGCCATATGCGCAACTTCAGTTCGCTTCCAGCTGTGGAAAGCAACGAACCATCAGGAGAAAGTGCCATGTACAGCGAGGCAACTTTTAGACCGACAACTCCGCCTAATCGTTCCAACGTTGCGCCGCCATCTTTCAATTGAAACAGTTGCAGCAACTTCCCTCCTTCTGTAGACTCAGAATGGAGAGGGCGCATGTGTGGCAACGCCAGTGGTGTCTCTGTCGCCTCTACGCCATAAAGCAAACGACTTGCCTGTGCCGAGGCACTTCCCAATGCAATACCGCCTGCACACTTACCATTGATGCGGTGATGGGTTTGCTGCGAAAAAGCAATGGGGTGGTGTTGGGCAACGTATGAGACGTGAGGAAGGGCTTCTTCTTCACCGGAGGAGTCAGAAAAACCCCAGTCGTTGAAGTTTTCCAAGCGGTCGCCATTGACATCATAAGCGTTCACGTTAGCGTTGCCATGTGTGGCGGGTGCAGGCCCACGTTCCTCCAGATGGCGCACATATCCCACTTCGCTGCCGGGGATATCGACAGAAACAATGATCTCTTCAGACGTTTCACTGCTCACAATAGCCAAAATTGGGGCTGACAGGCAATATGTCGCCTTGTGGCTACGACTGCCAACACAGTAAGCAGAAAGAACAGACCCATCACGGCCACCACCGTAAATAAGAATGGAGTGCAGGAAGTCAAAGTTACTGCCACTACTGGGACTATGGTGTGCCTCCGCCGCATAATCATTTAAAGAGTTAAACGGAAGTGCCCACCAGCAGAAGGCACGAACAGGTTTTGAAGCCCCAGAAAAAACAACTCGGCACCTCGTCCGATTTCCTGGGCCCATACTATTCGTTTGGTAAACAAAGAGACTATCAGTTGTTCCAACGGCAATGTGCTCCCCATCAGGCGTGACTTCCAGCTTGTATATGGGGGCCCCAACAGCCACAGAATAGTCAGCCTGAAACAACGTGTAGGAAAACAAATCCCGCTCAACTTCAGTACAAGAATACCAAACAACAGATCCATCACGAAGGTTACGAACAGTTAAAGTCCCATCCATGCAACCTGAGTACAAACCATGTCCTACAACATGTACGGTGCTAACGTGAGACATGGAACCCTTAAAGAAGGTCTGATTTCTTTTCCCCGCAATGGTGCCGAATGGCGTGGACTGAACTCCATTAGACACAATGGAATCACCATCACCTACATGATATTTTAACACTACAATAGTCCCATCACTCATACCAACCGCCAAGTAGAGGTCACCCTCCTCAGTGGGTCGCCTGGAAGAGGAGACGGCGGTCACAAGGATAAATTCAGTTGAAGTTCTATAAAGAAGATGCGTTCCTCCAGACTCCTGCCAGAGATACACACTTTGTTGCAACGCAACGATGGCACCCATATAACCCAAGCTTAATGGACTGAAATTTGGGCGGCCCTGATAATCGCACAAGGATAATCCTTCAGCGGCAAGAACTCGATAGCATTTTTCAAGTTTTCGATGCGGTGTCACGTGTTGTGAATACAACACACTCCTTCGTGAAACTGGACTCGCACTCTGTGAAACTGTAGCATTACCTATATGCGCCCCCGGAGTTGGTGTGTGTAACAAGTGGTTTTCATTTCTTACAGGAGTACGAAGTTGCGGTGAAGCAGCAGAATGAAGCATTGTATTGCGCCCTGGATGGGGGCTTGTGGCAACGGCATTGATAACCTCACTGCCCCTAGACCCGTACCCAAGGGATGCAACTCCAGCGCCGTTGAGGATAGGCGTTGTCCGGTGAGTATCACCACCCTGAGTACAGCTATAGGGGCTGCTGCTTCTGCAGCCCCCCTCAATACCAAATGATCGACTCTCCTGATTCCGCATGCCACAGTTCTTCGACACTTTCAGCGGGGTCACACAGCCGTCCCAACTTTCAAGTTGCACGGTTGATGCAGGCGTCAGTAAAGAAATGGCTGATGTGGCTCTATGGTGCGACGGAAAGCGTAGTCCAACGCCCCCAACGCGGTTTTTTACGGGCGTCGAGGGTGGCGTACGAAATCCATCGTGTGGCTCCTCTTCTGCATCTGTCAGAAGGTCCGCGTTGCGCATTGATGGTTGCGGGCCCTCACACGGCTCCGTCATTATCTCCCCTCTGCTCACATAACTGGGTGGAAGTAATTGGTTCCCGCCCCCATCCACCTCCGGGCGCGTGAAATTGGGCGCATGCTCGTTGGTTTCAAACAGCATGAGACCGCCTCCATCAAGTCCCATTTGAGATTCAAGCGTCTTGCGGTAACGAGCCTCTGCTTCGCAGCCTGCTGAGTGCGTGCACGCGTTATAGGGGTTGTGAAGGAACTTCTTGGAGTCAACAATCCCAATAAAGCGATCCTCCTCCGTCTGTGGTTGTTTGAAGATTGTGTCAGCGGGCAATCCATTTGTCCAATCATCTGTTAAGTGGTAGCACGAGGATGGGAACAAGCTAGCCACCGTATTTTTTCGCATTGGCAGAATCACCGAATACAGCGCGCGTCACAACCACAATTGCAGCAACGTCCGCGTTACGCTGCAGAGTCTGTACAGAAGAAAAATAAAAACAAAATAAATAGTCTCAACACCACTAACCCTCACAAGAAGGCAATGGATGGGTTGTGTAAGGTTGTTTAAAATGCCAAAACAATCAATCCAACAACTTGTCCTTATAATATTCTTCGCAGCACAGGGTGTACTCCTAATGATTATACCTCCAACCGTACTTGTTGTTTTCGGGATTTGTTTGCTGAGACGTACTCACCTTTGCACTCTATATATGTTATGTATTCTTTATCGTACGCCCTTCGCCAACACTTGTTCTATGGGAATTTGTGCAGCGAGATGTAAGTAGCGCTGCCGCACGAAAAGGATGTCCCTCGGAGCTCCACAAAAAGAAAAAGACACACCAAGCAAAAAAATTATACTATAAGGGACAACCGAAAGAAAGAGAAAGAAGAAGAGCACACCTGCGCACCCACACACATACAGAGTCAGAGTCAACGAAAGAGGAAGACAAAAAGTAAGAGGGTACACTGATGTATGGATACACCTTACAAGAGAGAGCACACAATTATATATATATATATATGTAGAAGAGAGATGACAACGTTAGAAGAAAATGCTTTTCCCCCACTTTTGACGTTGTACAAATTCGCACGCAAGACACTACAACAGCTGCGCCCTTTTCACACAGAGAGAGAAAGAGAGAGAGAAAAGCAGAAAAGTAACATGGTAGTTTTTTTTTTTTTTTGTTTCCGTTGCGTGTGTACTTTTGTTTCTTATTTGCCGCTCTGCCCCCACACAAGCGACTCTCGCTGCACTCCACGGTGCTGCCTAAGTTGCGAAGTGCCCTGGCTGCCACTTCCCTGTGAAGGGCGGAAGGACGAAAAGCGAACTTGTTGCTGGAACCGCCAGCATCACCGCCACGTACCACACAACCAACAGAAGACCCCCTGCGAGGCCCAATCGCAAGGAGGCAGTAGTGTACCACGCGATTGTACTATTTGCACCAGCATGGTGGCGGAACAAAAGCCAGTTGGCGAACCATAGCCATGGGAGACCAATAAATCCTGCGCGGAAGTACCACTTACAAACGCGCTCCGCCTGCGCCACAGTGAGTGGCCCCCTAGTAAACATAGGCGGCAGAAGCAGTGGCCCTAGCTCTTTCCACCTGTAGCTTCCCCAACTAAGGCAGTCCCACCACGTCAACAGAACACGAAAGGAAAGGTAACGCGTCGGTCAGCTATGGAATTTAGATAAAAGAGGGGAAATTTCTCGCAGTATGATCGTACCCCAAACAGGTGTCGTGCATACACGCTGAAGTACAGCGTAAGAGACAGAGAAAAAAAAAAGGCACATACAGAGAAACACACATATAGCAATGTTCTCTCTCTCTCTCTCTCCCCTGTCTTTGTCGTTCCGTTGTGTCACCACAATTATTCCCTTCTTTTCCTTTTCTGAGTCAAAGCAGGACAACATCGATGTCAACAACACAGACAAGTACGTCGCGCAACTACAATACAGGGGAATGGCCAAAAAAAAAAACACAAGGAGGTGAATGAAATTGTTCGTGTCTGTGTGTGAGCCTCCTTGTACACCACTGCACTGCTTCTTTACGTTTGTGGGAAGAATAAAAAGCCAGAAAGACCAAACAAGGCAGCGTCACGAGTGACCTTCACAGCAAGCCTGCAACGACCTTCGAAGGAAACAAAAAAGCAAACAAAAACAAATAAGGGGAGAGGAAATGCAAACCCTATAAATCCCAAAGAGAGAGACAATCCACTTCTACTCCGACGCTGGCGCCGCTGACAAGGATATACATGGAAAACGCATCCGCAAGAAGCGTTCATTCGATGCCTTCTGTGTTTCGCCCCCCCTGGGTATCCGCTGAGCCATTGTGAGTGCCTTTTGTTGGCGTTGTCGCTCAGCACCTTTAAGACGTGCCAGCACCGTGACCGTGCCATCTGAAGGTGTCGCTTTCCTCGCCTCTCCCTCAACCCGCCGCGCAGACAGGGATTCGATTTTCAGTAAATCTTTCTCCTCTTTGTTTGGTTGAACTATTAGCGGATGGGCTAGCCGAGCTGTGGGGGATGCAGACGAAAAACATGGTGGAAGCTCGCACCGTCCCTGTTGCTGTAAAGGAAAAAAATTTGATGCCTTCTTGTCAACTGAATAAGTTAGTACAGGGGGTGGCGTCACCTTCGACACGGTCCTGAGTGGTGTAACGGGAACAAGTGAAGCACAATTCATAGCTGGTTCTCTTCTTTCGGGTTCAGGTAACGGTGGGTGCATCAAAATTGTCGACAAGTGTACATTGCGTTGTCGCTCCAGTTTCTGCTGAGGCCCTTGGTTTTTCATCGTTATTGCCACTCTGCGCGTTGGACTCTTCTCGGCATCTGCCTCCTCCTCCACAAGAAAAAAAGCCTTCTGTTCTGTATCCCAGAACACATACATAGGTCCCTGTCTCTCGCCTAACGGGCGGCCTAACTGCACTCCACGATAATACTCAATCACAGTACCATGAAACGGTACTACACGATGTGGACCTCTTCTACCTGCTGCTCTTGATTTTGCAGCATCATCTCCTTGTCCTCCAGCTGTTCCTACTCTATTAAAAGCATCGGTACGCTGATCATATTTCACGTTGGCAATAGGAATAACCTCATCCTTGAAAATGACATAACCAGCTTCATTAGAACATAGTGTTGCACACAAATCGTCCGCGTCCCGCGCATTCACGGGAAGAGGCACATACACCACCTCGCTCTCCTGCATCTCATCTGTAGGATCACACAGATACGGCGAAAAGGCAAGGTTTTTCGTAAAGAATGCCCGTTCAGAGTCCAAAACAGCCCCGGAAAGACCCAAGTCACGCAAAAGTTTATCGATCTTCCGTGTCAACAAATCCACCGTTTGCTCGTGTGAAGCAGCCTCGCGAAGTATTCTATATAGCTCCTTCCCCCTCCTCCCCATACGTGCTGCCTCGGCAAGTTGATGCAACCTACTGCGATGGCGAGCACGATGGGCAATACGCTGCATACGGAGCTGAACAAGAGTTTTAAGTTTATCTTCCCGAGAAAGTGATCGAAGGGCAGTGCTGTCTTCTTCGTGTTCAATTCCGTTTTTGGAACCACCTGTGAATGCAGAAAGGTTGTCCAAGTCGTTACCCAGGACGGTTGGCAACATGTCAATTGTCGTACCTCCTTGACGCCGGCGAGATGCCTCCTCCCACCTCCGCATTGCTGCCGCCTGCAGTTCAGCAAAAGCTGCCCTTGCGCGCAATGTCACAGGGTTGTTTTCCCAAAAGTTAATGTGCTCTTGGCGTTGTTGTAGCAGTTGCTGCATCACCATTTCTTCCATCGTCCTACCCTCTGATTGCTCTGGGCCCACCTCCGCCAACGCACCCGTCAAGGCCGTGACAGTGAAGTAGTCCATCACCACACGTCGCCGGTATGGATCGTACTTTGCGACCAATGCACCATTCGACATATCATTCGCCGTCCCTTCATCACTTGACAAGGCAACTGCAAGACGACTCACCTCTTCCGCATAGGTCCCAAAGAATCCCAATAAAATTTCAACTTGCGACTCAATGGACCTCATCGCATTCTGCAATTCCGTCATGTCCTTAAAATGCTGCTCCTGTAACTTTTGAACGCCCTGATGAATTTCAGTCAAATCCATCAGGAACACTTCCCTCATCAAATCCATCGAGGAGATGTTTGGACGTGAACTGGACGTTGATAATCCCCCACGGTTTATTGGGTGTTTCCAAGCAGCGCTGCCAGCGCGCTCCCATGCTTCCATCAGTCGCTGTCGCATGAGCTGAAAGCCAGCTTCCTGCTGCCCCCTGGGACTCTTCAATGCGAACTTCTTTACAGACAATGTGGCCATCTCGGACTCGAACGACGATTCGCTTCCTCGTCTTTGACTGCTATTCAGCTGCTGGATGTACCGTTCATAATCAAAAATAGCGTCCACGCTGTCATCGCCCATAAACGGCACGGTCTGCGTTCCCACCGTCTGGACATTACGAGATTTCGTATCCAGGTTTCTTTTCACTGCCGAGGCATGTATTTTTTTACTATTTGAGTTTGACTTCACAGACACTTTTGGTGTATCTGCCGTCATATCAGCGTTTACTACAGTTGATGTTGTTGTGGCGAGTGTTGGTGGGGGTTGTAGCAACTCCGCAAATAGTGTTGCCGGGTTTCCCGACACTGGTTTGACGGTTGTGGTCGGTACTGCGGTAGCCCCCTTGGATGTCACAAGCGACAATGTAATATCGTGTCCCGTCTCATTCGCCACAACGCTCTGAGCGTCGGGGAAGGTTACGACATCACAGACCACAAGCGATGCGGAAACGTCCGCGGTATCTTCCGAGAGTGACATATTCTGCGACTGTGGTAACGCAGCCAGCGCGTCCCCCAAATCAGGCCCCTGGCTACCAGGGACAACGGAAAATGCGCTGCGTGACTGACTCTCTTGTATGTGTGAGTACGGTTGTGCGCTCTGCGCCCGGCGACCATGTGTCCGCCGCCGCCACAGAGCTTCCTGCAACTTGTACCGCAGCACGAGGACCTCACGGAAATAGCAACGCAACATAAGCTGGTGCGCCTTACGAAAGCGCTCAAGGACCTCCTCCAACTCACTGCATCGTCTTTCGCTCTTGCACAGTTCCATCTCAAGATCTCTCGTGCGCTGTTGCAACGCTGCAGACCGCTTCTCCTCCAAAACGAGTTCAACGCCGGGGAGAACGTTTCGGAGTGTATCGTCAACAACTTTTTGTACCACGGCTGCACAAACGTCCTCTGCGGATTCGCAGTAACCTGGCGCGAGAGTTCCCATATAATCCTGGATGCGGTAAACAAGGCGCTGCAGACGTCGTTGCACATCCGCACGGACTTGTGGATGAACATTGTGAAACACCAGGAGGCTGTTCACCTCCCGCACCGTACTCTCAATACATAACTGAAATTTTCCCATCGTCACGCAGTGAATAGCACCGTAATGTCCTCGTGAATGTCGCTGACAGTTGTTATCTGTATGTCTCTCTTCCCTTAACCTGACTAAGCTCTTTCACACATACCCTCTTTGCAGTGACTTTAAATAAAACAACAACAAAAAGGTGGAGGGAGAGTGAGAGAACAGTAGCCGCGTAGGGGGCAGGCAGCCAAAGCTGAGACACAGACAAAAAATAAAAAAGAGAAAAAGAGAAAGGCATCCGTAAAGGTACGCAAAAATAATAGCACACCTCATCGTCAAAAAAAAAAAACCCTGATGTAGTAATGGTCAAAGTAGTTAACTTAGCAGGCCTCTCTTAGTGTGGGTAAAGCGTGAATCCTTCAACATCGACATTGTGATTGGGTGGAGAAAACAAAAGTAAGCAAAAAAAAAACATCACATAGGATTCAGTTTTTACTCTCGGTACTTACACATGTGTGAGGAAAACTCCTTTGTGACATATTCCTCCGTCCCTGAGTTTTCCTCGCTCGTCACCTGCTCGCTGCAGGAAGTGTGGCACAGTTACAAGGCACACTTCTTTTGCTTTTCCCGCCACTGTTGTATTCCCCGCTGAAACACGCCCGCCAGCATGCCTCTCGGGCAGTGCACACTCGTCACGCCAATCGAGGAGACGTTCGCAACGTTGTTCGTTTGGTTGTCAAAAAATATGAATTGCGAAAAGTCACTTTTAATGCTTGGATCCCTCTCCTGTAGCTTGCGCAGAATCGTGCGATGGTGGCTTGCCTTGTTTGCGGCGTAAATCTCTACAAGGTCCCCAAACAGTGTGAGCATCGGCACCTCTTTTCCAGAGCTGTCGGTAAACTGAAAGAGGTGCAGGAGCTCCATTGCCCAGCGGGGCTCATCGCATGTAGATGAAATTGCCAGAGACGTGGAGCTCCATTTCGGATCGGTAGAAAGTTTCTGCAGCAGCTCCCGTGTCTCCCCAAGAAAGCGTACTTTAGTCCCGGCCCTATCAATGGCTGTGTTTGGGTCTTTGGGGTCCACCTTAAACGGCGCCCCACCACCACCCCACAATTCATACATCTCCGGAGCCCATAGCGTTCCGTCTAGGTCAAAAACAATCACACGCGGCACACTTTCGTCAGTCATCCGTCTTTCTTGTCCCCTCCACTAATAAGAGAAAGCGGGAGGAAAAGAGGTGCATGTGTGGGCATATGTACACACAAGGCCATGTAAAGGCAGGCAAACAGGGGGGAGGTGCGAGCTAGGAAGGACCAATCCTGGTCACTGTCAAGTCCAAAGGAAGATACCAGCGGGCACAACCACCACAATAGCGCATAGCTGGTAAACGTCAAAGAAAGGAAAGGAGGGAGAAAACACACACATGCAAAGAGCATTCTCCACTACCCACTGCAAACTCCCCCCCCCCCCCCCTCAATATCACACGTTTAGTTGTGTGAAAAAAAATCCAAACGCACCGTAATGCACCTCAAGCGCCGCCATGAGTTCTTCCTCAGCACCTCTGTACTCGTCGATAATGTCACTCACTGAACACACTTTTTCGGGATTATAAATGCCGTAGAAATGTTCCAAACGCTTCCGCAAAGGACGACAGGCCGCCGTACCCATCAAAAAAATGTCGTGGTGACGCTCCCACGGCGTGCTGCCATTGATGTGGGCCTTTCCCGACACATCCTCGCCAAAACAGCGCCATCGCTCTTGTTGTTGGAGGCACTGCTGCTCCAATTCCACGAGATTATTCTCCAGTTTGCGCAGCGTCTCGTCGCGGCCCGCCTTGTATTGCTCCAAGGAGTGCACAAGCGATTCTACAGACCCCACAATACGACGGTGTTCCGCCTGCACCTGACCAAACTTTTCTGTTATCTGTCTTATGTGCCCTTGCTGCTGCGCCACACACCGCTGCCACTGCTGCAGCATGTCATTGCTGTGCTGCAGGGTCGTCACAAGTTGTGTATTCTGCTCTTGCAGACGCAACGCCATACGCCGCAACTCATCGTTTGCCGCCTCTGCCTGCAGCAGTCGAGCCTCCAGCGCCTCATCCTCCGCGTCCTCTCTTTGTTGAAGCTCCTCTCGCTTAATCCGGTCGTGGAAGACAGAGGCCTTTAAAAGTTCCACCTCGCTTAGCCCCTGCTGCGTGTCTTGGGTTAACCGTCTCGCCGTCTTTGCAAGTTCCTGCACAGAGATTCTTTCCGCGTTCCCCGCGATAATGGAGGCACGCTGAATGACAGCGCTTTGCAGCTTTTCCTGCAAGGCACGTATCTCGCGTTGCAGCTGTTGTTGCTCACTTCGCGTCGTCATCGTCTCGGTGCGCATGTCGCGCAGTTGGGACTCGACGCTACTCGTCAACTCATCCCGCTCCACCCGACAGTCGCGTAGTGTTGTGTTTAACTTCGCCATAACTTTTTCGATCAGGAAGGACGGCGTGGCGTGCGCCTCAGGTTGTAGCCCATCGCCACCCATTCCTACCGCGTCACCGCTGACATGAGACTTTCTGACTTGCGGCGATTTAATCGCCACTGACATGTTGTGCAGCAAAATACCAAAATATCACCTGTGTGATTGAGATCTTCCCCTCCTCACGTTTTTTTGTGTGTTTTCTTTTTTGTTCTCCTTTAGCAATGCAGGTATGCGTCTGCTTGTGACTGGCAAGGGAAACCTACAAGCAGCAGTAGGAGGAGGCACCCACGAGGGTGAGTGCCTCAAATAATAGAAGCAACAAAAACGAAAAGAGGAAAAACTGTAAAAGGCAGGCGGGCACGCGCAGAGAAGGAGGACAAAAAAAAACGGCAAAAAGGGAGGGATAATGTAGTTAGGTGAAGAAGAAAAATCTTTATAAACGAGGTGTCACCGTCTGTTGCAACAGATTCACGTTTTCTTCTCGCTTCTGTGTGCCTCTCTGTTTTTTTTTGTTTGTTTTACTTCTTCGCTCTGAACGTGTGCCTGTGCTCCCGCGCCAGTGTATGAATTGCGGCGGTCCCATGCAACACAAGACAACACATACCGTCAGTTCAGCTCAGTAACGCCATCCCGTAGTGGCCCCAATTAAATAACCTACAGAAAAACAAGGGAAGAAACGACATTAAACAGCAACAAATGAAAAAGGCAAGAGGAGTCAGGAACCTTCCATAAAAGCTAAACAAAGAGTCATCGGGGCGCACATAAAGAGAGTGAGAAGGGAAGGGGAGTGGTGGATGTATGAATACATAAAAATAATTTATCCCACTCCACCCGCCCCACACCTTCCCTATTAGGTCTTTCCTTTCATTTATTTTCCTTTACGTCTTCCTCCCACACCCCACGCACCCAATGACTCACCTACCTGCCCGTCTGCCGCCATGAAGAGAGGGGGAAAAAAAGAAAACGTATCCCTCTCTTTCTTTCGTTTTTTTTTCTATGTTTGTATTCGCCCCCCTCCCCCCTCTCTCATGTTGTTGCCGTCGCCGTTGACTTTGTTCTTGTTTTTTGCAAGTGGACGACCCATTCAGTTGCGAGTGCCCCGCCAACCACTTAAGTGGAGGTGCGTCCAAAACAGCCATTAAATTTTAAAAATAAAAAATAAAAGCATGGAAATAGAAAAAAACAACAACACAAGCCAACATATGCGCGGTTACACTTGTCCGCAGCTCTTCTTTACGCCTTTAACTCCCGGTTTTCCCCCCGCCAATGGGCGGGAAAACTACAACAAACAGCAGGTTGTGTATGTGTGTTCTTCACATGTAAGGGCAGATGTGACCTTTTTAAACACACACACATACGTGGATTCACATCGCTTTCATTATCACACACTCCTTTTTCCTGAAAATGCACAGACATATATATATATATATACATATATACAATATATATATAATCACTGATCACTACGTTGATAACACTATCTTCGTGTATCGTTCCTTTCCATTCACATCAACCCCTTCTGTTGCCGCATCATGTGTGCGTTTGCGTATATATATATACAGAAGCATAAACATGGGAATTGAAAATCAGCGGACATGTGGCGTGTTTGCAGACACATTATAAACAAAGACAAATATTCTAGCCTCTTCGTGGCATTACATCAGCTGCTCCTTAATGTACACTATATATATATATATCCACCAGATTGTCCTTTAAACCTTGTATTTGTCTCTTGTTTAGCAAAGAACAAAAAAAAAAGAAAAGACTTCTTTCCCACCTTCTCGTTTTCTCTCTCTTCCTCCATCTATACAAAGCTCCAGAAGCGGACGTAGCCGTCCTGTGATGCGGTTACAACACACCGAGAAGCGCTTGTAACTCTCACACCTCGCGAAAGTCCCTCCCAGGCCTGTGGATAGCCCCCAAAAACCTCCCTTAGATTGCGCACATCCCAAAGGTACAAACTTTCGCCAACGCTTGCTGCCAAATGCAGATCATCAACGTGAAGCCCAGTCACATAATTCTTCAGTTTCAGCGTGTGTCTCAAGCTTGCCGTTGGCAAGTCGCCCATAGCGGGCTTTCCTGTAGGGCGAGGAGGAGCGCGGTAGTCCCAGGAAAGAATGGTGCCATCAAAGGATCCGGTGAAAAACTGGTTGGCGTCTCGAACTGTTACTGCCGGTAGTTTACATGAGTGTTCCTTAAAGGAAGTCACAATAGATCCAGAGAAGGCGTCCACAGCTGTTAGAGATCCATCGCTGCCTCCCACTAATACAGTAGGCTCTTCAGGAATGCAGTCCATTACTTGTGCGTTGGATGAGATATTCAGACGTTGTACCTCTTTCTTTTTAGAGCAAAGAATCAAGCTGTGGCTGAGTCCGCCAACGAGTAGCGGTGAAGCCGAGTCGCCATGCAAGTAGGTTAGACAATATACATCGGTACCCAGAGATACTGATGAACTCGGTGAAAGTGCCGCCCCGTCGGCGTCCCCTGTCTCAAAGGTCCATTCAACGGCATTACCGTCCTCACAGCCCGTAGCAAATTCATACTTCCCCTTAAAGCTTATGTCCCAGATGGCGCTCTCATGTGTGTGGGCCTGGATAAGGGAATTACCAAGCTCATCCAAAAAATATATATTGCCCATGGAAGAACCCACGGCAAAGCGTCCTTCAACACCAGCGGAGACCACACAAAGGAACTTATCCCCTGGAACACCAGTAGAGGCGGAACAAAGGGCAACAGTACCATTATTATGAAGTGGGCGCTCTCGAGTCGCAACCACCACCTCACGTGGAGCAATATCCACCACATCCACAGAGGAGTTTATGCGTACACTGCGCCTTTTCGCAGGAATCCCCAGGAGTCGTCCTGACGTAGTTAAGACACTTAGGTCAGGACTTTTTCGTGTACACCACGACCCTGCAGTTACAAGGCGATTACGTGATATGGACGCTGCCATCGAAAGTTCTGACCCTGACTCTGACAGGCAACTTTGAATCCTTGTGGCCTCTGCTCGCTTAAATAGAAATTTCGGAAAGTGTGGATGTGGCTCCATGCAGATAATAACGCGGGCATTGGGACTAATTCCCTCAAAGTTACGGCTTTCAACCTCCTTCAGGAGCTCCTCAAGAACGCGGCAAGTAGCAATGGACTTGTGCGCATTTACAAGAACAAACCACGCCCCCTCATACATGGCAGTCTTGAATTGCTTGGCAAACGCTTCTGGCCTAGGTCTTAGACGCAACTTTACTCCAAGATCGATTGTAACGATGGGCATATTCAGCGCAATGGCTACTAGTTCAATCTCAGCGATCGGGTTTACGTCATGGCAGACGCAAATAACACATCCACCAATAGGCACTACTTCCACAGCTCGCATGATGCGCCGCCGTACCGTTCCTTCTGAAGGTTGTTTTGAGTATGCGTAGAAGTAGTCATCTCTGAGTAGGGGTGTAGTTATTGTTTCAAACTCCGGTAGATCAGGAGCGTCACTTTTACTGCTGTATTCAGTTGTGTTCATGCTGTTGTTTGGAACAATTTCCATGTTATCCGGCGTGGAACCGCTAAAGGAAATAATCGAGGTGGTATCCACTTCCGCCTCATTCTTGGCTGCTGAACAAGTCCCAGTGTGATTAGAGTCCAAAAAAGATGTCATCTTTGGTGACTTTGATGGGGATGTTAGGAATTGAGTCTGTTGAAGCATCACTAGAGAAGCATCCTCGTTGGCCAGTTCAGTCAGCACCGCCTCGCCTAAGGGTTGTCGGGGGAGGCCGCTGATATCACTACTATCAGGGAATATACTATCTTCGATTTTCACCTGCTGCGCTGATTCGTTGACCCTCTCGTACTTTGTCGAGACTTTCCGGGCCAAATCCACAGAAGGCAGCACCTCCCGTAGCTCACCCCTGTCCGTGGCAGTCTGCCCCTCCACCTCCACGATGCGATAGCCAATACCTAATTCATTCGCAATGCCCTCCTCGGTCCCGTTCAGGTGCGACTCAACATGGCGCTCGGGTGAAAGAGCAATGCTGCGCAAAACTTCATTCGTCGCTGCCTCTATGGAATTTTGATGCTCACGCGACATATGACTGCTTCAAAAGGTGTGTGTGTGTATGAGAGAGAGAGAGAGAGAGATTTTTTTTGGTTTTTGGAAAGTGTGTACCTCCCGGCCCTACGCTGCTCGTAGCAGTCCGCTTCCCTCGGTCTCACTGCTGTGTGCGTATGAGTGTGTGCACCCCCCTTTGTTGCCTCCTCTAGCTCCAACTGTTGGAGTGGTGCACTGGTTTCAATCAATTGCTACGGCTTTGTTTTCCTATTTCCTCTAACCTGCGCGTTGTGGAAGGCTGTGCCCAGCAAAAGTAGCCGAAAAATGGAACGAAAGCGAAAGCACAAAACAAAAGCAAGAAATATTCCAACACAAAGACGATGAAAAACAAACACGCACACACGCATGAACTGATGAAAAAAAGGGGCGAAGGAATTCCTGCGCACCCACTCCCACCGTCACTCTGCATCGACACCTGCGCACGCACACACATAAGAAAAAAGAAAAACAAAAATATGAGAGGAGGAGGTATTCGCATGTATGCATATATCTGCAAGCACATGAATGTATCTAGCTGTTGTATCTAAAGTCTCTTCGAAAGTGAAAATAAGAAGCAGATCCACCTCCACTTATATAAACTGTCCATTGACGAACAAGAAAAAATACTTATTTCTTCAAAATCAGAGAAGTTGAAAGTAAAAATACAAACAACAATGGAAAAGGTCCAAAGTGGCAAGGTGCGCCATCACCTGGGCCGCCCCGCATCTAACGTAAGAAACACAACAAGTAAACCAAAATATAATAATGATAATAATGAGGTAGGAGAGTCGTAGAGCATACACCAGAAACAGCAGCAAACACCAATAGCAGCAGATGACCAACAGAAAGTGATGAAGAAATGGGTTAATATGCAACGCCTTCATCCCAAAATTCCCCTCTGCCCCGCACACGCCTCCCCCTCCACACACACATGCACCTCAAGCCCACTGCAGGCATACTCTCAATTCCCTTGTTACAGCTGCGTCATTGAACGGGTGTGAAGATAAAAAAGCAGCAAAAAGAAGGGGAAAAAAAAAGCAAATGGCAAACAGGAACCAAAGGACAAGAAATAAAAATCCCCCCAGACTCAGCAACGGCGAGAACGACTACGCGACTTCCCCTCAAAAGAAGGGCTTATGGGAGAAACCGACATACGCCATAGCGCGCGTTCAGCATTCGGTCGGAGAGGGACTTTTTCCATACGTCTCCGAGCAGCAATCCCAACAACTGCCTCGCATTTTTTTTCATCATCACTCCGCATGCACATCTCTTCCAGGGTCATGTTTTCATCCGGTGTAGTATGCGATTGTGTACGGCGGCATCGGCGTAAACTCGAGCGAGTAGCAACAGGTGCAGGAGAATTTGTGTTATGAGGAACAGTGGCATTAGTAGTTGCATCGGCCTTTCGTTGCCGACCATGTGCGTGCTGCATCAGTTTGCTTCGAACATCCCGTAAGAGACCTAACGCCCTACGGACTCCATCCGTGAGCTGCTCATTGTCCGGTGACACACTTTTTTCGGGGACCACGTACTGTTGCACCCCGGGACTCTCATCCGCTATGGGGAAGATAGTACGGGCGGTGCGCGGGGTTGGGCTACGTTGTTGTACTGGACTCGCGTAGCAACCAGTGCCCTCACGGGTATTTCCAGGAGGCGTGTCTGCCACTAACATATCTGTTCCTTGTGAAGGCGGGGAGTTTCGGTGACGCGCGGTGGGTCGACTTGTGGGCGGCGTACGCGAACGCGGTGGTTTTAACGAGTCCCGAAGACGACGTGTACTCTCACAACGAGCCACGTGAACAGCACGTGACATCAACATTTTTGCTTCTCCCTCTAGTTCTTGTATACGATGATCCAAGTCTGCATCCGTTACATCTGCACCCATGACAACATCATTGGGGCGTGGCTGCGGTGAGAGCGACGCGGCGGGAGAACTCGCACACATTGAGGAGTTTTCCTCCGCCTTCCGCCGCATTTCCGGTAGGTCATCTTTAATCATGTTATGCGCTACAGTAAGATCTGCCAATTCTCGCTGTGAATGCTGCAGTTGCTGCTTTAGTTGCTGTAGTGCTGCATGTTTATCGGTCACAGAGGGAGTGACGGGGCCAAGTGACACAATCATGGGAACACAGCGTGCGGTAATACGCTCCATGCAAACAGCCCACTCATATTGTAATCGAGATCGCCCGGATCGTTCTGATGAGAAAAGCAGTTCTAACGGTGTCACGCAGCGCTGTCTGGTCTCGTAAAGCTGGTATTCCCATCCCGCCAGCTCAGTATCCACTTCAGCGTCCCTCTCCTTCAATTCAGCCTCCATTCGGGCAATTTTGCCCTTTCTGGCCTCTACTTCCCCCTCCGCCTCGCGCTGCCGCTTTCGTTCATGTTCCTCAATCTCCTTGCTTTGCAGGCGCTGGCGTGTGAGTTCGTGAAGTTGGTTATATAATCGTCCTACCTGATCCACTGCTAGGGCATGGTCATGTGCAATGAGAAGACGCTGGGCATTTGCCATTGCATGCAATGAATCCGATACCTGGCCATCAAAGTGTGTCACGATGGATGACAGGGTGTTGCTGGTGTACATGAAAGCATCTCTAATTCCACGCTGATAAAATGCATCACACAATTCGCGAAAACCGTGAACCAGCTCTTTTGCACCCGAGTCGTATTGATGTGTAAAAAGTGGAGGCATATTAAGCACCATCACAGGATCGTTCTTGATCTTCATGGCACGTTGCGTAAATCGCAAGCTTGAGACGGTTTGCTCAAAGTTTTCATGAGAGGGATTGATACAGCAAAGAATAAACGTCATACCAGACCCACCAATGCAGCTGCGCAAAATGCGAGTGAGTTTTGCGTCACGGTAGGGCACATAGGGCCTTTTTTCCACAATGGCGTCCACCACATTGCCTAGGGTCAACAAACTTTTATTGATAAATCCACCCTCCCGCAGCGACAAGCCATCTGTATTCGCACGAGACGCAGACTCCGAACCGGCAAGATCCACCAGATTTATTGTGCTCACCTGCCTGTAGGCCCTGTGAATTTCAAAGGTAAGAATCATGTGTGAACGACTGCTGTGGTCATTGAGGTTTGTCACACCGTACTTGCGATTTCGTTCCGCGACATTCTGAAGTTTCACAAAGTCCTCCATTGTCTCAATGGGCAACGATTTTTTGTCAAAGTACACACCGCCATCGGGGGCGTCGTGCAGCCCAAGTTCTCCGCGTTGTGGCTCAAGAAGATCCTTCACTGACTCATTGTAAATTTCTGTGAAGTATATGACGATCTGTGTACCAGGATAGTTCATGCGAAGATCCAACAACAGCTTTGCCGTGCGGGGGACGATGCCTGGATCTATCTTGCTACCATTCATGCTGTATGTCTTACCACTGCCAGTCTGCCCATATGCCATCACAGTCACATTTTTCCCGTCGAACCCGGCGTGCACAAGAGCCTCAATGCCTTGAAATATTGTCTGGTTTGAGGTGCCGATGTGGTGCACTTTGTTGTACACATACCGTGTGTTAGGGCTGTGTGTGCTGTACAGTACCGTCTCCGCAGAGGACCAAACACCGTTGGACACATTGGGCCGAATACGCACGTGAACGTCTATACTCATTTTACAACTCTTCCTGTTGTGTAACTGTTGCCCTCTTTCTTCCTTCACCGCCTTTCGCCTTTCTCTTGTTGGCGTCTCTATGGGAGAGTTGTGCTGTGTGACTCGTTGCCCAGCTGCTGCCCACACACAGCAAAAAATAATATAAACAACTCAAGCAAAGAGGATGAAAAAGCAAGGGATAAGGCATTTAAAAAACAACTACTACTACACACCCACTAACCCACCACACGCACACACACGTCCCACCACCATCACTACCAGAAGCAAAAAAAAAAAGCAACAACAACAAAGGCATCAGCACATGTCGTCTTCACACAGCCAATACATACTCAGCAAGCGGGGGATAAGAACACAAATAAGTGCACCCACCAAAACGGAAAAATCAGCAAATAGGTTATTATATATATATATATAAGGTCGCCTGAGCGAACAGCAAAACATCAGGTCAAATAGGAGAAAAAGGTGTGCGTGTGCGAACGGGGGGGGGGAGTAACTCACCCTGCCTCACACCCCCCACCGCGTGTCTTTCAGTGTAGTGTGCGGGCCTCTGTTGTCATCCCTGTTACTACCGTTGCTTGTCCGCCATGGCGAAGCAAACCACATTCTTCTTGTCCTCCCTTCATGCTCATAATTAATGACTCAGTTGAATATTCAACTCATATATATATATATATATATATATATGTTCGTAGCTTGCCGCTGCCTCTTTTTTTTCTTTTTTACCTTGCACAGTGTTATGTTGGTTCTCTTATCCACACAGCAACACCTCCCTTCTCTTACGGTGATGATAAGAATGCCTATCCGCACATTTATGTTCGCATGGATGCTCATTTCCCTCACCACCCCATTCTCTCCCCCCTGTACGGCTGCGACCAGCTAGTAAGCGCCCCGCAGTGTAGGAAAGAAAAAATCAATTACACGCCCGCACACGCAGAAGCGCAACACTTCCTTAATATAACATTATCTTACTTCTTCCCCCTCGTCTCCTCTTCCCCCTCCCACGGCCTTCGCCGGCTCCAGCACGACAAGGCAACGTTGATTTGGTGTGAGGGAAAAAACACATAAAAACAAAAATAAGAGCGTCACAAGAATTGATGCATCGCACGAAGGGTAGTGAAAAAAAAAAAAAAACGGCAAAGGAAACGGGCAAGCGTGCACAAATACAAAAAAAAAAAAAAAGAGTGCACCCACATAGTAAGCACAGGGCTATGATATGCATGCATGCTGGTAGAGAAGTGTGTAGGAACCGGAGAAAAATGTGGACAGCGAGGGAGCTGCAATAAACAAATCTCCCTCATTGAGCATGTATTTTGTGTGTGTTTATGTTTGTGTGCGTGTGTATCTGGGGAGAGAGGGGTGAAGTTTCCTTGTTGTCTCTCTTATTTCAACCCACTTGTTGTTGTTGTTTTTTAACGTAGACGATCCAGGAGACATTGTTCGTTTTTTTTTTTTTTTTTTTTACAAAAGGGTGAAAGGGGAAAGGAAAAAGAGTAAAAATAGAAATAAAAAAAGACATCAACTCCCTTTTTTTTTTCAGTTTGCCTACACGGCAAATTCATCACTTATTTCATCTTTATTATTGTTAGGATAAATACTTCATTGTCCGTTTCAGATTCTTTTTTTTTTTGCCCGGACGGCGGTAATTGTGGCGGCGGCGGGTACGTATGCTTCTTTGTGTTTGTTTGTTGTGCGTGTGCGTGTGCGTGTGCGTGCGTCATGCGCACACATTCCAGTTACCACAATGTGCCTTCACCACATGTGTAAAAGCACACGGCACATACCTTCTTGATTATCCCCACTCACACGCACCTTGCCTCTCCCATGCAAGGGATGCACCCCTGCATGTCTCCTCTTCCTCATTATGTTCTGTTTGCAGAAAGAGACTGACACAGATATATGCGTATATCAAGCAGGGGCAAGGTAAAAACAACAACAACATCAGCAACTGCTCTGGTTCAATTACTTGCTCTCACACTGTCCTCTGCGCAGCACCGCTTGTTACTTTTGCAGATGTACCCGTTTTGTCTTTTTGTGTGTGTTTATTCCTCAGTTCCTCATTTGAATTACTAATCTCCTCAATGCTCGTCATTCTTTGATTACCTTTGTCGCCATTGTTGGAGATGTCTCAGTTGATGTTGTTGTTGTCGCTGTTGTTTTTTTTTTCTTTGTTGGAGGAACTTTACATTTATTTACTTTATTCCTTTCCCACCTTACCGCAGCGGCGGCGGTGGCGGGGGAGGCATCGGCTGGTACATTGGCAGTGCTGGCGACTGCATCGGCACCGGTGCCGATGGAATATTCGGTGCAGTAATGACCGGCACAACCTGAAGTTGAATGCTCGCCCCCGGTGGCAGTTGATACGTCTGATTGCCAATAATGACGCTCTGCATGTAGGGTGGTGGTGGTGGTGCTACTGGCTGCGAACTTGCTTGCTGCCACGCCGCCGGTGTCGACTGTGCAGGATCCCACATGACTGGAAATGGTGGTGGTGGTGGCGCCATCGAGCCGGGAACCGTCGTTTTTGGCACACCACGACCGCCGTCCTTTCGCCTGATTGCAAGCGGTCGTGCAGGACCTGCAGCCTTGTCACGGGCCGCCAATAGTGCAACAACCGCACGCTGCGAGGATGTGAAGTACACTCCGCGCGCGTCGCACACCACGCGCCTATTCCACGACAACACTTTAGACACCTCCTGCTCCTCCACCCGCACAAGAACACAGCCCGCCCTAGCCCCGGATTGGGAATCCACATAATGCGAGACATTGGAAGGATGAACTGGAACACCCATCAATGAAAAAACCCATGCCACAAACTCTTGATCCGTCTCGGCCGAGAAACCTCCAACAAAGATGGAAACGGCCCGTTGCAATGTGGCAGAGGTTGAGGGGAGTAGCTTACTTGCCCCCTCAGTTCCCGGATACAGGTGGTAAATAGGTTCTTTGGAAGGCGTTAAAAGCCTTGTTCTGCCTGCTTGATCACTATCACCACCAGTTACAGGTTTTGGACCTAAAGGAACAGATAAACTGCTTCTCACTGACGAGGCGTTACTACACGACGGCAAAGACGTTGCCCCCGAAGGTGTGCCTAACGGCACTAAATCATACGGCGATGGGGGGCACGGCACCACATGTTCCTGTTGCAGTGAGGTACTTGCGTTACTACGTGTTCCATGGTGGCCTGCATTACCGTAAGCCCGCTCTATAATGACTGGGTGCGTCGGCCCTCGCGCACGCCCTTCTGTAACATCCAGAATGGATTTGGAAGCAATAAGCTCCGCCATACGTTCTGCTGAAGGCGCCACATAAACACCCTTTTCTGCGCAAAAAAGACGCTGATTCATGGCTAATAGTAACTCCACCTCTTCTTCACTAGACACAAACACCGAAGCGCATCCAGTTGGCGATCCACTCCTTCCTCCTTTTGCTTTTCGATGCACAAGAATTGAACTAGACGGCAGTCGCACCCCGCATGCAACCTCAAAAATCCAGCCAATCATATGTCTACCTACATGAACCACCTCAAAGCGCAATCCTCCAATAAACATTTTGGTACCATGATGATGACTTGAGGAGATACCAGGCTCAGCCACCTGTTCATCCGTCAGACCCCGCCTGGGAGGGTGCGTCTTAAAGTACTCCGGTGTTGGGTACGGGTAGAACTCTGTGTCAAGTAATACCATGTTATCTATTCCCTGCATCAGCATTCCCAAGTATGCCTCATCGTCGGCATTTAAACATGACTCCTGTTCGTCACCCGCCCCAGCAGCAGAATTCCAAGACCCTTCTTCCCTGTCTTGTGCGATACCTTTCTTCCTCCGCCCAGCGTCCTCCAGTTGGGACTTGCCCTCTCGCGCCTCAAACTCCAGCACGGGGCCCGATTCAAAAAATTGCTTCATTCGGCTCTCAAAAGCGCGTGTGGCGCACGACTCGGAGCTCGCCAAGCTACCCCCGCTGGAGGAGTAGTCCTCCGAGTCCACAGAGGAGTGTGCGCAGCTCCCGGTGTCCCGAAATAACATCGCTGCACAGAGAAGGGAAATAAAAGAAAAAAATAATAAAACAAAACTACGAAGTCTGCACCCAACTCTTCCTTTCTGCCAAAGGCAAAAGTAATATAATCGATGTGTACGCACACTTCTGTACTACCCCTCTTTTCCCTTCCTAACTGATTTTGCAGAGATGAATACCTTCTGTGAAAGTTAAAATTCTCAACAGCACCTGCGTGGCCCCCTAATGCACTCCTACAAAAGAAGAAAACGGGCAATGCAAAATAAAAACAAAAAAGATGAACAGGGAAGGGACAACGTACACGGCACAGCCGATAAGTGTGGATGTCTTTGTATGTATCAGGTGCCCGGTTCCTTCCGCGGTACTGCTGTCACCGCCCCTTCTCTAGTGTTCTCTCCGTGCAAGTCCAGTAGCGCCACAGCAAGTAGCTCCTGAGACCAACCACAAACTACACAATAAAAAAAAAAGCATTAATGTTTGTTTTTCCTGTTCACCGCTATGCAAGAGAAAACAAAAACAAAAAGCATACAAAAAAGAAGTTAATGTATCGGATTTGCCACTCCGTCAATTTACTTAACCCACGGTCTTAGACGCATCTCTGCGGCATTCACCACGCCCAAGACATTGTCGCAGAATTCCTTAAACTCTGGGTTATTCGCCATGGCTGCCTCCAACGCATCAATCCGTGAACGGCTTGAGTCAATGACTCGCAGCAGCCGTTGCAGCTCACTGCTCCGCAGCTTGTTTCGAATGTTTGTATTGTGCGCCAACTCCGACAGGTGTGCCTCGCCAAGAACTACTAGCTCACCATCCGCGTCTCTCTCACCCTCAATGAAACTCACTTCACTCTCACGTTCTCGCTTTGAGTGCGCCTCGTGGCACGCCACAGATGTGTTTTGCTTGTCGCTGCTATGAGTCTGCAGTTCCTTCGACTCCTCCTCCTTCGCAGATGTCCCTAATTCTTTCTCTCTCGCATTTTCCACCGTCGATGGTAGTAACTTCTCAGAGTGTTGAGGCGGTTCTGAGTCTCGATGGGCCTTGTAGCACGCGGAGCAGCAGTAGGCGACACCACAGAGTCGACAGCGGTAACGAGATGACTCCTTCTCGCACACAGCACAGCGAGCCATGGCTCACACACTCCTAAACCCGATACATGTGAGGTCAAACGGAAAAAAAAGACAACAAAGTACCCGTCCAAGCTTCAATTTAACCTAAATATACGCATATGAAAAAAAAAGTTATTTAATTGGTATCTCCACGCTTTCCGCAAAAAACATCAACGACTTCATTCGAGTAGCCGATAGCTACTCCGAAGCAGTCTCTCACCACTCATGCTCACCACAACACGGACAAAATGGAAGATGGAAGTATTGCAGACGTCTTTTAACCCACCCCCCATGCAGGCTCCAAGTGCTTTACGCCATGCCCCCTCAGACTCCGTCCACGGAATTGCCTTCCGACAGCCGATATTCCCGCACATCGTGCACCCGCGGCTCACCCAAAACACTGTCAACGGCATTCGCCATCGTCGCCACCAAAGCGCCAGACTGCGTGGTTCCCTCACACACCACGTGCATGCTTATCGCGCTCTCAACGAAA